ATCTTTTCTCCGTTGATAAGAATGTTGTTTATTGGTCTAGTGGTGAGGATTTTTGTTTTCTTTACATTGAGATGTAATCCATACTGAAGGCTGTACTCTTTGATCTTCATCAGTAAATGTTTTAAGTCCTCTTCAGTTTCAGCAAGCAAGGTTGTATCATCTGCATATCACAGGTTGTTGATGAGTCTTCCTCTAATCCTAATGCCATGTTTTTCTTCATATAACCCAGCTTCTTGGATTACTTCCTGAGCATACAGGTTGAATAAGTATGGTGAAAGAATACAACCTTGTCGCACACCTTTCTTAATTTTAAACTATTCAGTGTTTCCATGTTCTGTTCGAACAACTGCCTCTTGGTCCACGTACAGATTCCTCATGAGCACAATTAAGTGTTCCAGTCGTAATGTTGCCCATAGCTTGTCACAATCCACACAATCGAAAGCCTTTGCATAGTCAATAAAGCATCGTGATATTCTCTGCTTTCAGCCAAGATCCATCGGACATCAGCAATGATATGCCTTGTTCCACGGCCTCTTGTGAATCTGGCCTGAACCTCTGGAAGTTCTCTGTCAGTGTATGCTTGCAGCCGTTTCTGTATTACCTTTAGTAAAACTTTACTCACATGGGCTATCAAAGAGATTGTCCAATAGTGAATGCAAAAAGAAAATCTCAGCACAGAAACAGTAACTATAAAAAGGAACCAAGTGGATCTACAGAGAAAATATACAAATAGCAAATAAGCACATGAAACGATGCTCATTAGTTATTGTTGTTGTTAAGTGCTGTCTAGCCAATTCCGACTCATAGTGACCCTGTACACGGTTCCTGAGGAACAGATGGTGGGTTTGAACTGCCGACCTTGTTGTTCAAAGTGACCTTGCAGTTCAGTGCTTATTCTACAGCGCCACACCAGGAGTTCTTTGTTGTTGTTAAGTGCTGTTGAGTTGGTTCCAACCCATATGGACCCTGTACAGGGTTCCTATGCAGCGACTGGTGCTCAAGGGCACTTCACAACCACCACCACAACAGAAAGGCTACAATGGTATCTTTGTGGTTTTGATTTGCATATACCTAGAAGGAGCTCTGGTAGCATAGTGATTACGAATTGGGTTACGAACCTCACGGTCAGCAGTTTGAAACTACTAGCTGTTCCGCAGGAGAAAGATGAGGCTTTCTGCTTCCATAAAGATTTACAGCCTCGGAAATCCTGTACAGGGTCGCTATGAGTCGGAACCAACTCCACGGCACATAACAACAACAACAACAACAACAAAGGAGTCTTGGTGTGACACTGTGCGTTACTGCGCTAGATTGCAAAGTTGAACAGCAAGGTCGGCAGTTCAAGCTCACCAGTTGCTCCTCAGAAACCCTATACAGGGTCGCTATGGGTAGGAGCAGACTCATAGGGTTTCCGAAGAGTGGCTGGTGAGCTTGAACCACTGACCTTGCAGTCCAGCAAATTAATCCGCAGCACCACACAAGGAAACCCTATACAGGGTTGCTATGAGTCAAAACAAACCTCACCTGCACTCAACAAGAACATGCAACCCAGCAACTGCATTCTTAGTTTTATACTCCAAAGAACTGGAAACAGATGCTTAAATAAACACTGTACACAAACATTCACAGCAACACTATTCAAAACAGCCAAAAGGTGGAAACAACCCAAGGGTCCATTAAACTGATGAATGAATGGATAAATACAGTGTGGTGTAACCACTGCATTGAATTTCAGTCAGCCACCAAGCGAAATGAACTTCTGATACAGGCTGCAACAGGAATAAACCAGGAGGACAATATGCTGAGTGAAATAAGAACAAATATTGTCTGATCCACTTATATGAAATGCCAAGAGTAGGCAAAAGCATAGATACCAAATCAGATTCGTGGTTACCAAGGGCTAGAGGACGGAGGGCATGGGGAAGTACTGCTCAAAGAGTTTCCAGTTTCTGTTTGGGGTGATGAAAAAGTTTTAGAAATAAATAGTGGTTATGGTTATGAATATAATTAACATCATTGAATTGTACACTTATAAATGGTTAAATAGCAAATTTATGGTATATATATGGTTTTACAAAACAAACCATGACAAGTAAGAACAGGAGTGTGTTTAGGTGTGGGGGTGGGATGAAGGGTCATCATTCTTATACTCTGTCCATCTCTAAGATTGGAAATGCTCTCTGGCAGCACATCCTCATGCATTTCTTACATTACTGAACAGTGGTTAAACTGCACCCCACCACAACATGAGACATCAGCAATGGTCAATTACACTGAGGAAAAGATGTCCACAGTACGAAAGTGAAGAAGAAACACCATCTGTACAATATACACAATAGGGTTTCATTTTGGAAAAGCAAAATCTATATTGTGGGCCCACATCTGTTTTACATCCTTAGATATACCCCAACTGTTTACTGTGACCTCCTCTGAAGGGTGGGTCTGGGGACAGGAACGATTCACTTTTAACATTGCAAAGTGAAAACACAAGATCTCTACATTGATGAGATGCCATTAAAGCAGTCCTTTGGGGTAGGTGGGGGTGGGGAATTATAGATCCAATGCCTGTATTGTAAAAGAAAAAAGGCCTGAAATCAATGACCTCAGCTTCCACCTTAAGAAATTAGAAAAAGAAGGGCAAAGGAAACCTGAAATAGAAGAAAGAGAAGAACTAAGATCAAAATGGAAATCCATGACATAGAAAATGAAAAAGCAATACTGAAATCAATGAACCAATGCATTTTTATTGTTGGAATTTTTACATGCGCCTATATTAGTTTTGATAGAAAAATTAAAAAGGGTAATCAACAAACAAACCCATGCTGGGCACTAACTGTCCCTCCACCGCAGAGTGAAGACATGCCTGGTATGGGACCGCATCCAGGTCCCATACCTGATCGCTGAGAAGCAATCAGGAGGAACAGGGAGAGCCCAAACTTCCTGGCTGAGGCCACATGGGATCCTGGTCTTACAGGGAGAGCCCAAACTTCCTGGCTGAGGCCACATGGGATCCTGGTCTTGGCACGCATGAGAGGTGAGCTCACAAGGAGGGGGAAAGTACATTACGGAAAGAGGAGAAGCTAGGGACAAGTCAAAGGACAATTATGTCAGTAGGAAGTGGGATCCTTATATGACCAGGTGAGAGGTAGGGACAAATACTGGGCAATGATGTGTGTTGATTGAGCACCCTCCTTTGGGAATGGGTCCCTACCCAGAAGCTCCATGGAAGGAAGGCCCAGCAAGATGCTTCTGTAAGGATTACAGCCAAGAGAACCCTATGGAGCAGTCCTACTCTGTAATACATGGAGACGCTATGAGTCAGGAGAAATCAACAGCAATGGGCTTGTTTTGGGCAGGAAGACTAGAAACCCAGACCCTCTCTTGAGGTGGCTTAAGTGTGATCTTGCTGCTCTACCAGGGCAATTCCGACCCGCCCCTTGAGGCCAGCACAGACCAGGGCACCCCAGGATCCATTCCCTGGCAGTGGGGATTCTGTGATGGTGGAGTGACTGTTTACTGTAATGTTTGCTTGACTGCTTTACTGGCCACAGCCCTGTCCTGTCTTCTTGGCTGTAGGACCTCTTACAAATGGCCTGCTAGGAGGTGTTTACAGGACTGGGCAGAAACAAGTTCAGCCCAGCTGCATGCACCTGGTGAAGGCTCAGTTCTGGGACAGCATCATTATCATGACTCACCAAGAGGGCTCAGGCTTGGGCTGCTGGCCTGGATGCGCAGAGCGGTGAGATTGGCAAGGAGCCGCTGGAAGTGGAAGGCAGGCAGCAGAGGGTCCGCGTCCTCAGAGGTTTCCTGCAACCTAGCAGGGAGAAGGGCCAGAACAAGAACCCGAGCTTGAGCCAGGTGGCTCCAAGAACTCTCAGGCAGGGGCACTGGTCTCCCAGGTCACAAAAACCCACTGCCACTGAGTTGATTCTGACTCATCACAACCCCACAGGACAGGGTAGAACTGCTCCATAGGGTTTTCAAGACGGTGAATCTTTACAGGAATAAACATGGAGTGCCTGGTGGGTTTGAACTGCTGACATCGTAGTTAGCAGTCCAACATTTCACCCACTATACCACCAGGGCCTCCTCCAGACCACAAGGGAGATGTGAATAGTGCCCGGACCTTAGCTGGATACTGCCTTTCACACTTCACAGGACGGGGGACGGGGGGGAGGGTATAGGGGTGGTGGGATGCTTACTGGAACCTGAGCTGCATCTTCCCGGGTTGCCCAGTGTCCTGGGAGTCATCAGACAGGCTGATGTGCAACAGAGACAAGACCAAGCCTGCCCCTTCCAACCTTAGCTGTATGGGCGGTGGGGAGACCCCAAGGGGTACCCTGAAAGTCAGTGTGAGGAGCTGCCCATAGCTGAACCGCTGGTCTCCCAGGAACTTCCCTGAAGGCAAGAGAAGGTGGCTTTAATATTCTTACTCATTTCACTAGCTTGATATTAAAAATCTATATTGATTTCATTGGCAATGAGACATTCAAACAAGATCAAACCGCAAGATCAAACCCTGTCCAGCAGATGCTCAGATGTTGAAGTGGCCCCATGCCTATGTCTTGGTGACAAATTCTGTGAATGGTGAGCTGTCTCACCCATGGTTGAATGCTCTGCTGTCACTCTTCTGTCATGTTTAATAATCCTACCTTTGAGCTTATGTTTTGTGAGTGAAAGGGAAATGAAAAGGTGCAGGTAGAATTGAGGTTGCGAAATAGCTGACCTAAAGATATAACGATCCTGGATTATCCAGGAGGCCCCTTGTAATCACAAGTGTCCTTCACTGAGGAAGATGGAGGCAGCGTGAGCAAGAGTCAGCTGGCCCTGCCTAGCTTTGGAGACTAAAGGGGGCCACTAGTCAAGGAATGCAGGCAGCCTCCAGAAGCTGGAGGAAAGACAAGGAGAGAGATCTTCCCTTAGAGCCAGCAGAAAGAATGCAGTCCTGCAGACCCTGACTCTAGCTCAGTGAGACCATGTTGGACTTCGGACCTCCAGAACTGTAAGCTGACACGTGTGTCATTTGAAACCACAAGTTTGTGTAAGTTCTATGGCAACAGCAGGACACTAGTACAGGCCTGTGGCAGATGGTACCTGGTGCTGTGAGCTCCTCCCCATCTTCTGGGCTCAGGAGGATCCCCGTTGGGGTCCACCGTGCGGCATATTGTGGGCCTCCTCCACTTCTGGCTCCCCAGCCCTCAGCATCTAGGCAGCAAACACAGACACAGGTATTCATCAGTCTGAGGTGTGGAGTAGTTGGACACATCCAAAACGGGCCTGCCTCCCCTCCCAGTGGGTCTCATCTGGGCTAAAACCTGGACATAACACAGGGCACGAAGCTCAGAAACCCCAATGTAGGGGCATTGGGACATCAAGGCCATTGACCACTCAAGCTGCACATGCACTGTTCCCAGGGAGATCACCTGGTTAGGAAGTGGCAGAGCCTGGACCAGAACCTAAGACCTGGTTCAGCCTAACCTCTCTCTGGTGATAGCAGCAGATGGAACCATAGAGCAAATGACCTCAAGAGGGCGCTCTTCAGGAGCAGCTAGGGAATGGGGTAGCAGCCAAATGTCTGCGACACCCAAGAGCTGAAAAATGGGGAGCGAGATCAGGAAGGTAGGTAAGGGACTTGTCTAGTGCTGGCTGTGTGAGCCTGGGCAAGTTACTTAACCTCTCTGAAATGGGTTCCTTATCTGCAAAATGGGGGCAATGATGGAATCATGGCTCTGGGTTGTTGTTAAGTGCCATTGAGTTGGTTCGGACCCATAGCAACCTTGTATAGGGTTTCTGAGGAGCAGCTGGTGAGTCTGAACCACCAACCTTGCAGTTCAAACTGACTTTGCAGTCCAGTGCATTAACCCACAGCACCCACCAGAATACCCTGGCTCTGGGTTGTTGCTATTGTTGTTATGTGCCGTCGAGTTGGTTCTGACCCATAGTGACCCTGCCTAGGGTTTCTGAGGAGCAACTGGTGAGCTTGAACCACCAAACATGCAATTCTAATGGCTTTGCAGTCTGGTGCATTAACCCACAGTGCCACACAAGGACTCCATGGCTCTGGATAGCAGTTCTCTTGGTAGCAGTTCTCAAAGCATGGATTGGATGCTCTGAAAGATTCCTGAGATCCTTTCAGGAGGTCTGAATGGCCAAAACCATTTTCTGTTTTTAAAGTTATTATGTAGTTTGGGTGGAAGTTTACAGAGCACATCAGTTTTCCATGCAACAAATTATCCCCATTTTGTTTCAGGCCATTGGTTTCAATCTCCTTAGCATAGCAGCATTTCCTTCCTGGGTTCCCCATTTTCATTCCAGTCCCTTCCTGTCTTTTGAGCTTTGTGTTTGGGCAAATAATGCCCTACTGCCCTTTGGGTCTCATACAGTTGAGCTGAGAATGACCCTCTTCCCTGGTGTTACTATCCACTTTATAGTTGCTCTTGGTTGGCTGAAAGTTGATTTCTGTGAGCAGACTCGGTTCCAGGTTTGAAGCCTGGCGAAGGGCCACAGACTCAGGGGTTCCACCAGTCTGTCAGATAAGTAAGTTTGATCTGTTTTTTTTTGGGGGGGGGAGGGGAAGGAGTGGTCTACAGTGATTTTATTGAAACAGAGAAACCAGTAAATTTCTATGATTAGGGCGGATGGTGGTTGTCTTTCCAAAGGGTGAAGCCTGAACCCTACTGGCAGCACACTCAAGGTAGAGAGCAGAGCCCAGAACGTCCCCTCCTGGCGTCCCCTCCTGGCCTGTCCCCGCACTCTATGACTCAGGCTGTGAGATGAGCAACTGCACCATCATATTCGGCCAAGTAAGGAGATCCAAATGGGCAGATGTGATATCCTAACAGGAGATAAGTGAACAAAGATTGAAGAGGACGCTGATCTGAAAGTACAGTTATCTATTCTCCAGGTGAGGACAGGCGTGTGCATTAAATTATGTTCTTCATTCTTGAAACAAGTCAATCCTGATAGAAGGGGGCTGATGGGCCAACAGAACAGTAAAATGGGATGGACAGTTCGGCTCTGGGCCTAAGGAAAAGAACAGCAACGACCAGGGATCAGAAAGGAGCATTGGAATGCCGCTAAGTATTACAAAGGAGCACCTTCCTTCCTGTTTCTCTGAAGTCAAAGTCAGGAAAGGGTACCTTTTGTTTTCCCTGCTGCAGTGGTAGCGAACTCATTGGTTTTCATCAAACATAATTTTTGTACTCTGGTTGGTTGCTGGGAAGGGAAAACAGGAGGCCACTGGTAATGTTAGAACCAGATCTTCTCACGAAGTCTCTAGTAAGCGCTGCTGCTCATACGGGAGGAGCAGAGGTGCTTCAGTTAAAGCTTCTGATATATTGCAGTGGTTTGACAGGCAGGTTTTGGGCTCTGACTCTCTTGCACATGTAAACTCTTTTGAAAAAGCTGGAGATGAAAGGATAGGGGTGAATTTGGTTTGGGAGCCACAAAGTGCCAGACACCAGCCATGAATGCCTGGGCCCTACTTCACTGTGTATTTATTTAATGGCTGAGTGTTAAGCACTGTGGTTGAAAGACATGATGGCTTGCCACCAGCCACCCTCCTTCATCCTCCGTGTGAATTTCACAACAGCAGAGGCTAAAGACAGACAGTTGTCTCTGTTCCCTCTCACCAGAGAAATTCCTTAGTGCCCTCGTGAATGGTATGGGCCAGGCAGTCTACATCGTCAGAGGTGACCCCTGCCACAGAGATGTGGCCATCCTTTACCATGTAAGTGGAGAACTCCTTGGCCAGCCTCTCCACCTGTTTAGACTTGAACCCTGTGAAGCATCTGGCCAGTGATGTGCTGCCGATTGTGGAAGTCCAGATGATGTGATCTGACATGGCTTTCACTTCCGGCATCCATTGTTCTTGCAAATCAAGGGTCGTCAGAATGGTTGAGGCGATCCAGGCCCCATTGAGAGGAAAGTTAGAACACAAGGCCGATCAAGATCTTCAGCTGTCACTCCATGTTTTTGGCGGTGTCAGCATCTATGCAGACCACAATGAAGGCCCCCGCATGTTCACCGTATAATCCCATGTTCTTGGTGTATGACTGGCATAGACAAACATCAATGTGCTGTTCAGTGAAATGGCACACAGCCCTGGCATCTGTGACCATCTCCACTGGCAAAGCTATGCTTCTTGTTGTTGATGTTAGGTGCCATTGAGTCAGTTCCCACTCATAGTGACCCTGTGTAGGATTTCCAAGGAGTGACTGGAGAGTTTGAACTGCCAACCTTGTGGTTCAAACCGACCTTGCAGTCCAGCGCTTCATCCAAGCCTTGGTGGTGGTGCTGGTGTGCTGTGGAGTTGGTTCCAACTCATTGTGACCCTGTATAGGGTTTTCGAGGCTGTAAATCTTTACAGGTGCAGAAAGTCTCATTTTTCTTCCACAGAACAGCTGGTAGCTTTGAACTGCTGCCCTTGAGGTTAGCAGCCCAACTTGTAACCACTACACTACCAGAGCTCCTTAAGCCTTAGTAGCTCATGTCAAAGAAGGCAAAAAGCTTCTGTTCTCTTCATCACTGCTGTGATTGCCTTTTACTGCTTAGGATAAGGGCCCGCTCCTGTGGAGTTCTAGCACAGGCAATAGAAGATAAACATTTTGCTCTGGCATTTTTGAGATGTCTTCCATAGTGTCAGTGGGGTCAAGGCCACCTGTCTTGGGGTCATAGTATCAACAGCCATGTAGCTAGATGCCAGCAACCCTGAAGACGGGTGTGTGATTTCCCTAAGAGTTTGGGCAGAAAGTCATCTCAGCTGAACTCGAAGAATCTTTACAGAAAGCTGGCTCTGGTCCTTAAAGCCTAGTTCCAGAAATGGTCTGCATGATAACATACTGGCCACTTTTCAACACCTTGCCATTTTCTCCCAGGGCCAGTTCTGCAGATGCCTTACAAAATTCAGCCAGGACCCCAAAAGGCAAGTATTCCTTGTCCAGATTTTTTGCAGCAATCTGGGCCTCTGCCTTCCAGATATCACATATGCCTTTCCATTATCCTCCCGGTAGGCTCTGACTCCCAGAGTCATCTTTTTTGCTGTTGGTATCACTCTTAAGAGCTTCTGTGACTCCCAGGATGGGATCTGGGGGCCCCATCTCCACAAAGGTCTACCAGAAGCCGCGGCAGTATTGCCTGGTGGAAGGCGGCAGTGACCCCAAGAGAGGAGGACCGGAGTGCAGCAGAGCCATGGTAGTAGGCAAGAGGGCAGAGGCTAGTGGCAGGATGGAGCCAACAGCAAGCGGGCACAGACATAAGAGACGTAGGCTCCTGGCCTGGTCTTTTTCTTATTATGGTTTTGCATTTTGCAACATCTTGTTGTTAATAACACTAAAATGTCATTTTCATTCTCTCTCACGAGTGTGCAGTGGAGTTTTCCAGACAGCAGCTTTCACAACCAGCCTCAGGGAAGAAGCCAGTGTGAGCATCAGCTGACTTCTATTAAGCCAGACCTTCAAGAGACTGGCAAAAATGTCAAACAAATGCTGCTCTTCTCATGAAATCATTTTGTTTGAAAAAGTCATTTTTCACAAAAGTATGTTATGTTCATTATAACATGATAGGTTTACTATTGTTATTTTTAAGTGAATGGACCAATAAATAGTTTTTAATGACTCGGGTTTAATATAAAATACAAAAAATTTCCATACAAACATTCATATGAATAAAAGGCCTTTGGGGACCCCAGTAATTTTCAAAAGTGTATCAAAAGGGATCCTGAGATGAAAAAGTCAGAACATGAGGAAAAAATAAGATGACGCAAATGAAGTTCCAAAGCGAGGGCCTGGTACAAAGTAAGAGCTGATAATAAATAAGAGGAGGCTTCAAAGGTTTGTGGGAAAAATGAATTATGTTTTAGTTCCATTTTTTCCAGGAACTTTTTGAAGCCCCTCATGTTATTGTTGTTGTTGTTGTTGTTGTTAAGTGTTGTTGAAGTGATTCCAACTCATAGTGACCCTGAATAGGGTTTCCAAGGAGCAGCTGGTGAGTTTGAACCGCTAACACTGTGTTTCAAACAAACCTTGTGGTCTAGTGCTGTATCCCACAGTGCCACACCAGGACTCTGGTGATCTATAAGATGAATTTCATCACCCTGATTCCAAACCTTCCTTGGGCCTGCTTTCTGCATGGTTTCCAGCAGAGGGCGTGCTACTTCCATGTCTGGAGCACCTCAAAGACTACATTAACGTACCTTCTAGTCTAGGCTGTGCCTGTGGGGCCCTTCTGGTACCTCCCCAGAGCAGAGCCTGTTAAACCAAGAGGAGTGACGTGACTGCTTCAGGGCAGGGAGCAGGAGCATAAGAGAGGACACCATCAACACATGTCACCCTCCCAAGACCCCAGGTCCAAGGCAGGCTGTGACTTAATGCAGACCTACCTCCAAAAGTTGTGGCTGTGCCACCCTGGAGTCCAGGACCGAGGCATCACAGCACTCCTGGACCAGAGAGAGTCTGCACATTGGTTAAGAGCAAAGCTCAGGAGTTGGCGGACCCAGGCGCCTACCATAAGTATTTACCTTCTAGGGCCTCTGAATTTCCATTCATGAAAAGAGAGGAAAAGTACAGTGCCTAGCATACAGCCAGTGCTCAATAGAGGTCAGGGAATTGAGCTTGAACCTCAGAGCATTCAGATTCACCAAGACACCAATCTTGACAAGATGATTGGAAATTTCCCTATAAGATACTCCCAACCCTTCCTGGTATTGCTGCTGGAAACTGAGGACAAGGGTGGAGGAGAGAGCCAAGCAGTGGATCTCGCACACTTGACCCACACGAATTGGGCTCTGTGTCGGCATGTGGTTTCCTTTTCACACCTACCCACACCAGCAACACAGGGTCCTAGAGTGGGTCACCTGCCCATTGGGTTAGAAGAGGATCCCTCCCAAAAGGCAGTCAAAGGCACTTCTTACCCTGGCGGAAGTCGGAGAGAATGAGATGCTCTTGAAACTGGGTGGTGGCTGCACACACCTTGGAGTGGCCGTAGCAGAAGCAACTGCTGCAGCCGGCTGGGTTGTGGGGCTGCAGGTTAAATGTTCCTGGGCGGCATCTGGAATAGAGGTAGGACAAGGTCACTGAGGCTAAACAGATGGGCCTAGGGTGGGAAGAGGATGGCCAGATTGGCAGGTTCTGAGATACTGATTAGATTAATGTTCAGAAAACTTGCTTTGTTTTTAATTTAGATTTACCGAAGAGTCGTAAACACAGTACAGCATTTCCACATGCAGTAGACCCTCATCATTCATGGATTCTGCCGCTGGGAATATGCCATTTGTTATCATTTATCTCTCAGCCCCAAATCAATGTTCATGGCTCTTTTGTGGTCAATCATAGGCACGTTCAGAGCAGTGAAAAATTTGAGTCACATATGTTCCTAGCTGAGGTTGAACAAGGAGACACCCTCAAGCTGTAAACAAGTGTCCTTTTGGTGGGTCTATTTAGTGCCATATTTTTGTGTATTTTTCTGCTTTCTGGGATAATTTTGCTGTTCAAAGTCGCCCCCGAGAATCACGTTGAAGTACTGTGTCGTATACCTAAGCACAAGGAAGTCATGCTGCGTCTTCCAGAGAAAATGCATGTGTTAGATGAGCTTTGTTCAGGCAGTGAATTCTATGCTAATTAATAAAAATAGCTACTTAAAAAAGTATCTTTAAACAGAAACACACATAAAATAAGGTTGACAAAAATGTTGTGATCAGGGCCCCCAGGAACGATTTCTCCTACGAACAATGGTTGAGTATTCATTAAGTCAGTGTTTGATATGACTTTATAAACTACTGTGAATAATTAAACTGACTATACTCTTCACCCAATTTCCCCCAATGTTAGTCTATTACATAACCTGGGTGCATTTAGGAAAAAAAAAAAAAAAAAAGAAATAACACTGTACAGTGTTATTCACTAAACTCCAGGCTTTGTTTGGATCTCACCTTTTTCCCACTAATGTCCTGCTCCAGGAGTCAATCTGGGATCTGGCATTACATTGGTTATCATGTTTCCTTAGTCTCCTCCAATCTCAGACAGTTTTTCAGTCTGTCTTTAAAGCCCTTTACTTTTTTGAAGAGTACTGGTCAGTTGTTTCCTAGAATGTTTCTTAATTTGTGTTTGCCAGATGTCTTCTTATAATTAGTCTGGGGTTATGTATGGGTTTTGAGTCCACTTCATCACACTGTATCAGAGATATATGGCATGCAAAGGAGCCCTGGTGATGCAGTGGTTAAGCGTTTGGCTGTTAACGATAAGGTGAGTGGTTTGAACCCACCAGCATTCCACAGAAGAAAGATGTAGCAATCTGTTTCCATAGAGATTTCCAGTCATGTAAACCCTATGGGGCAGGTCTACTCTATTCTACAGGGTTGCTGTAAGTTGGAATTGATTCAATGGTATTAAGTTTAACAAATATATATGCACATGATGTCACCAGTGGGTCTAACCATTACCAGTAGGTTCAAGTGATATCTGCTAGTTTTCTGCACTGTAAAATTTCCTTATGTGAATCATTAGAAGCAAGTCACTAAATCTAGACCCAAACCAAAAAACCAAACCAGTTGCCTTTGAGATGATTCAAATGTATGACAATCCCATGTGTCTCAGAAAAGAACTGCACTTCGTAGGGCTTTCAATGGCTGAGCCTTTGGAAGTAGATTGCCAGTCATTTCTTCTGAAGTGTCTTTGGGTGGATTCAGACTGTCAATCTTTCAGTTAGTACAGAGTACTTAACCATTTACACCATCCTGGGACAAGTAATCTAGTCCCCAAATGAAAACAAACAAACAAAACAAACCCAGTGCTGTTGAGTTGATAGCAACCCTCTAGGACAGAGGAGAGCTGCCCCATTGGGTTTCCAAGGCTGTGAGTCTTTGTGGAAGCAGACTGCTTCATCTTATGGAGTGGCTGGTGGGTTTGAACTGCTGAGTTAGAAGCCAAACACTTAACCATTGCACCACCAGGGATCCTAATTCGGCCTACGGAGAGGAGAATTAAGCTCTACCTCCTCAAGCACGGAAGTACAAAGAAATTGTAAACATACTGCAAAACCACCACAGTAGTGAATGAATACTTTAGGGAGAAATTTTGAGGCTGTGCAAATGTCCCATTTTCCCTTAAGATTGTCCCCTTTATTTTGAAATTCATCAGTGTGGTCTCGCCTGTAGTGATTATTACTGTGATATTTTAACAGTGACTTTCTATTTCACTCATTTCTTCCACATTTATTATGTGGAATTCTGGAAGGAAGATTTGTTCTTCCTTTTGTCCCCATTTATTTGTTTATCCAATCATCTATTTATATCAGTATGGACTCATGGATATTTATTTTATTCTCAGGGTTATAATCCAATTCCACTGTTATTTATCTTGTGGCTCAAATTGTCCCAGCTATGGGAACTCTTTTAGGTTGGCTCATGTTCCTCTGACACGGCCCTGTCCTGGTTTTTTGTTGTTGTTTGTTTGTTTGTTTATGTGTTCTTATTTAGTTTTATTTTTAAGTACTTCTTTACTTTCTGGCATTAGAAAAGATGGTCTGGGCTCATCTCACATTTTCCCTGCCCCAGTTCTAGACTCAGTCATTTCTCCAAGGAGCCTTGGGGAAGCGTCTCACAAATACAGAGTCCTGATTTTTACTCTGAGAGAGTTGGTATGAGCAGGCTTGGGTGGAGGAGTTCCTAAGAAGCAGTCTGATGACCTTGATGTCCAGCCAGTTCAGATGAGCACATTGCAGCAAGTCCTCTCCTATCACAAATGCTCAAAATGAGGCTCAGAGGGGAGGACCTGCTCAAGGTCACATAGCAGTTGGGGCAAAGCTGTGAGAAGCCAAGTCTCCTGACTCTCAGGTTGACTCTGGCTCTCTAACCTTAGTCTGGAGGGAGTCAACCTCCCTTCCCAGGGGCCTGAGGCCACACATGTACAAGATGAGGGGCAGCCTGTTCGCCAGAGGACAAATGTCATGGACCAGCCACACAGCTTTGGAGCCAGCTTCTTCCTAAATTGCCAGAGAACCAACACACACTATAACAAAACTCGAGTCTGTAATGAGAGCTGTGGCAGGTACTTCTTAGGGTCTGTGGCCAGCTCTGCCCCTAGAGCTTGGTCACAGGGCCTCCAAGAGCCCCAGGCAGACCTGAGCTGGGTGCATTAAGGCTTTAAATGTCCAAGACAAAATCAGGTAGTACTCCATTAGTGATGTCTGCCATGGATGTGAAAACATGGCTGTGGTGTTAAGTACCATGCATCTGCTATCTCTGGGTTAGAGGATATTTCCTGTCCTTTCAGCTCTTTCTTTTTAGGATTCTAAGCTAGGATTCCTGATGTGGCGCTATAGGATAAGCACTGAACTGTGAACCAGGAGGTTGGTGATTCAAACCCACCAGCTTTTCCTTGGAAACCCTATAAAGGGTCACTGTGAGTTGGAACTAACTTGACAACACTTAACAACAACAAGAAACTAGAAAAAAGAATGTGTTTTCATAGCTTTGTATCCATCAATGGTGTAGGGTTGAAACCTTTGGATAACTTCTTGTCTAGCAGAGCCATGATGCTCCAAGAAGGGTGATGAAGATGTCCAAGTATGTGACTTCCCCAGTTCCACCACCTGGTGTCTCCTCAAAGAGCCATGAGGTCACTTCCAGTAGGCTTTTTATTGAGTCCGCTCACCCACCTGTCACACAGGTTGCCTTCCACATTCTCTTTGCAGGGACAGCGCCCACTGCGGGGGTCACAGGTACCCAGGCTGCCAGCAGGATTGCAGGTGCAGGGTCTGTCAAAGAGTTAGGGCAACTGAAAATGTGGGAGTCACCCATCTTCCATGGAAGAAATTTCACTACCCCTTACTGATCCTGAGAGGGCCAGGAAGCAGATGGACCCAAAAACCTATTCTTACCTTGCCAAGTAATTGACCCATCTACTCAACCTTATTGGGATCCATCTGCCCACCCAACTGCTCATCCTTGTATCCACCCACCCATCCATTTACCCATCCATCCATCCACTCAGATATCTCTCCAACTATCCTTCCACCAATATATTCATCCACCCATCTACTCAGACATCCTTCCATCCGTCCATTCACCCATTCATCCATCCATCCAATCATTGTCCATCCACCTATCTAGCCATCTGCTTACCCCTAAATCTCTGTTGTTGTTAGGTGCCATTGAGTCAGCACTCATAGCGGCCCTATGCACAGCAGACTGAAACACTGCCTCATCCTGGGCCAACCTCACTATTGTTGCCACGCTTGAGTCCATCAATACCGCCACCCGGCCAACCCATCTCACTGGGGTCTTCCTCTTTTTTACTGACCCTCCACCTTACCAAACATGATACCCTTCTCTAGCAACTGGTCCCTCCTGACAATATGTCCAAAGTATGAGAGACGAAGTTTGGACATCTTGGCCTCCAAGGAGCACTCTGGCTGCTCTTCTTCCATAACAGATCTATTGGTTCTTTTGGCAGCCCATGGCACTTTCAATATTCTCCTCTAATACCATAACTCAGAGGCATCAATTCTTCTACGGTCTTCCTAATTCACTGTCCAGCTTTCATTAGCATATGAGATTACTGAAAATACCATGGCTTGGGTCAGGCATACCTTAGTCCTCAAGCTGACATCTTTGCTCTTCAATACTTTAAAAAGGTCTTGTGCAGCAGATTTGCCTAATGCACTACGCCATTTGATTTCTTGTCTGCTGCTTCCATGAGTGTTGATAGTTGATCCAAGAAGGATGAAGTCCTTGACAACTTCAATCTTTTCTCTGTTGATAAGAATGCTGTTTATTGATCCAGTGGTAAGGATTTTTGTTTTCTTTACATTGAGATGTAATCCATACCGAAGGCTGTGCTCTTGGACTTTCATCAGTAAATGTTTTAAGTCCTCTTCACTTTCAGCAAGCAAGGTTGTATCATCTGTATATTGCAGGTTGCTAATGAGTTTTCCTCCAATCCTGATGCCACGTTTTTCTTCATATAACACAGCCTCTTGGATTATTTGCCCAGCATACAGGTTGAATAAGTATGGTGAAAGAATATAACCTTGTCGCACAACTTTCTTAATTTTAAACCATTCAGTGTTCCCATGTTCTGTTTGAACAACTGCCTCTTGGTCCAGGT